TGGTCAGGCCCCGCCTCCCACCCTGCCACCTTCACCCTCTTTTTCTCGCTTCTCTCTTCAGAGGATGGAGGAGTTCTTTATAATGCTGTATTATCAAAAGCTCAGGCCTGTAATCCCAGCACTTGGGAGATGGGGGCAGGAGGATTATTGTTAGTTTGAGGTCAGCCTGGGCTACATAGCAAGACCTTGTCTCCAAAAATAAAGAAAAGGAAAGCAAGAAAAGAAAAGACCAGAAAGTATAATACTGCATTAGCCACTTCAAATAACCTTTGTATATTGCAGTTCTTCCGGCCAGCATTTCTGATTTTATTAATACAGCGGTTTTAATAAAATAGCTGCCCCAGGTGATTGGTGAGATGAGCAACAGTAAACAAAACTAGTAATCATTGTATCTTCTCAGGGTCAGTTCTTCATTTCCATCTGTGCCGTCGTGAGCATCCCTCTGCACACATTTGTACTCTGATCCACAAAGTGGCTCTCAGAGCCTCCTGGTTGTCCTGTAAGATAAGGGAAGACACTGGATAATCTGCTAACACATTCGATGGTGCAGTGCAGGCTCGCTGAGCAAGCACCATTAACTCCGCCGTCCTTTCTCCCAGCACCCATGTGGCAGCTCTCAGCAGTGAGCAGACAGATGGGTTTTTAAGAGAGCTTATACAGGGAAGCAAGGGGCCTCAGACAGAAGGCCTCATCCGTACACAATACAGTATCATTCCCTTTGAGTGAGACACTCAGGTCACAAAAGGAATTTGATATCAGATGACCTGAGTATCATCCTCATTGTTATAACATTTATTTACACAGTGCAGATGTCCAGATTCCCACAGGCATGGTGACGTCCCTGTGTGACCAGAAAATAAACCCTAACTACAGATATGGCTGCTCTGAGGTCCCTTGAGAAGCCACACAAATGCAAAGCAGTAAAGTATTAATACCTCTTTGGTAAGACCTTGTCCCAAGATCTTGTCCCAAGCAAGTGTCCTAAGGTGATGGTAAGGTGTTCTGTTAACAAAGGGAGGTGCTGAGCCTAGAGCAAATCAGGTCCCCTGCCAAGAGGTACAGCATCAAGAAGTGACACCTGTTCAGTGTTCTGCCTGTGGAAGTGACTTTTATTCCTTCCCCCAAGAGCTGGAAAGAAAAGCAGGGATGGTCTACTGAGTTCTTATACAGCTCAAAGAATAATACTGATGCCTACAAAAAAAGAAGAGGCAAGGACCCATAGGGCAAGAAGACAAGTGTGCATGTGACAGTCCATGTTGGCAGCTACACAGTGTCTGGGTCTGAAAGGAAGACTTGGAGACCCCTCGTGTTTGAGAAGGAAGCCAGCAAAATGACTCAGAAAGAATAATAGAGTGATTATGTCAGGAAGTGAGTGCAGTCCACTTGGCCAGAGGCTCGCAGCTCCAGTGCGAAGGAACGAGTTGAAGGGAGACCTCAGAGCAGCAGGTTGTGGAGAGCTGTGAACTCAGGGCCACCACTTGGGTCCTGGGAAAGTGACCCTCCAGAATGGCCCCTCTCCGGGGAAAGAGCGGAGACATGCTGTTCTCCTGAGCCATGGGAGCACAGAAGAGAGTTGAGACCAAACTGGGTAATGGGTATTCTTTTTGGAGTATTACCATGGTGTACTTAATTAAAATACTGTTTATGAATTGAAAACTCACTGAATCCTTGCTAAGAGAGAACATCGTGACCATTGCAAAGGTTTGTTGAGAAAAGTGTCAGGTCTGCAGGACCGCCCATGTGTGTTCTGGCCCGGAAGGCTACACTGTCAGTTCTGATACTCAGTCTTACCTTGCTACCTCCTTTCCCGCAGCACCCGCCCCCATCCCGTTTTTCCTTTCTCTTTGTGTGCTCTCTCCAGACCTTCCAAAGGTATAGCTCTGTCCCATGGCTACAGCTACCCAGGAAGGAGGCGTTCTTAGCAAATGTGACATGCTGTTTCAAATTGTCGCATCTGCTATGTCCAAGTCTTGGGTGGAGCACTGGAAAAATAGGCTTGACCCAAATGGCCAGTTAAACTTTCCATTGGCAGAGACCGAATCAAACGTTTAAAGGAAGGAAATGTTTCCATTTGAGAAGTTTGGTTTTTTATTGAAATAAACCATTTACTGACAAAAGATTCACGGAATCATGGGAGTGTAGTTCACTGAATGCTGCGGTGCCGTGCTGGGCACTTGGTGCCAGGTTAAAGCCTTGAGATGCATTTGGGGGGTGGTTGGAGCTAGCTTCTAGGGAGAACCTACTGTCACACCTCTGAGCTCCAGGCCTCTATGGCTCATCCCTCCAGGGGCTCGTGACAGGAGCCAGAACCACCGAGACTCCTGCAGACTCAAGCTGTATAGTTCCAGAAACACCACGAAACTAAGAGTATTACGTACTTAATTGTGCAGCTAGTCCCTCTGTGTGGCTGTGTTCGTGTCTTGACCCCATAGGCTTCCTGGGATAGAGGTGGCTGTCTCTGGGCCCCAGCTTCTCAGCTAACCCTCATGGGAGTAAATATGCATTGGAATCAGACAGTTTGTAAAAGTCAGTGCACTGACATGCTACATAACACAGAAGGAGAGTCTGGGACAGAGCAGGGGAGGAAGTACCGTCACGACTTCACAACAGGGAGGGTGTGTGGCTAGTTCATGTCTGTAGAAATTTTTAATCCCAATCCAGGGTTTCTAGTCACCTTTGACCGTTCAGTTCCCAGGTAAAAGACGCACACAACCTTTACAGTAACAATGAGTCCCAGTCAGCAGTAGAGCTGGGCAGATACCTCCGCTGTGCTATTAGAATCTACGTTCCTATCAATACCCAATAACAGTTATTACTTACTGTTTTATTTGGGATGCTCCAGTTGGCCAGCCCTCAAGGCCACGCTTCAGGCCTCCTGACCCACAGTGGCTTCTCCTTCCTCCTCTATTTCTTCTCTTCATTTTCCCTTATTCCCCCATCCCAAGCCCAGGAAACCTAAACCCCACCCACCTATGTCTCTTCTGCCCAGCTATTGGCTGTTGGCATCTTTATGTACTAATCAGAAATAACTTGGGGGCAGGATTACAGGTCTATGTGAAGACTCCAGGTCTTGCCCCCTACACACACACACACACACACACACTACAATAGACAGGAAGACCAAACTTGATCAGGTTCAGGTCTGTTCTGCTGCCAACATTCTATAAAGATTTAGACAAACAGATGACTGAAACAGTTGTCATCCAGGAAGACCTAGCTAGGATAGGTCTAGCTTCAAAGATGAGAGTACAGCTAAGAGAATGAATTACCTAGCAACCCAGAAGCCTGGGGAAACGGGAATGTGCTCCATACCTTGGACCTCTAGCCAAGTGACAGGTTCCAACCCCCTAGTCACCTCCAACCCCAGAGTTAAAGAAGGCTCTGTTGAATATTGTGTGGGTTCCTTACTAGTGACAACCCTGAGTCTCATGCTGTAGATCACAGCAGAGTCTTGCTGCTGTAGACTAACTGTCGGGAGTTAAGGAAGGTTTTAGACGACAGGCTTACCAGGTCTTGGCACAGAGAGAATAAAGAAGAGAAGGGAAGGGGAGGGGAGGGAAGGGGAGGGGAGAAAAGAAAGGAAGGAAGGAAGAAAGAAAGGGAGGAAAGAAGAAAAAGAAAGAAGAAAAGTCAGGCAAGGGAGAGAGTACCTGGAGGTAGCTGAGAAGGGAGTCGTCACACTGAGTGTGGTATTTCCTCACTATTAAGAAGACTGGCACTTTAGAGGCTGAGTTTGGCCTCCTAGCTGCTTCTGCTGTCCAGCCTGAGGATGTCAGCATTAGGAGCTCCTGCAGAGGGCCAGAGAGCTCAGATGATAGACAGCCTGATGGTGGCATCTGTAAGCAAAGGCCCCGGAGACACCCTGCCTCCCTGTCACAGTCCCCAAAACTATGGGGATCACCAGGCCAGATGGTGCCAAGCATGAGAAAAACTAAGACATTCACAAATGGATTCTGTAGCTCTGCACGTAGAAGGCCTTTTGCTTTCATTCTGTGGCGTGTCTGTGCACTTTAGTCATACAAAAATTCCTTTTTAATTTTTTTAGTTTACATTGGTGTTTGCCTCCATGTATGTCATTGTGAGGGTGTCAGATCCCCTGGAACTGGAATTACAGACAGTTGTGAACTGTCACATGAGTGCTGGGAGTTGAACCTAGGCCCTTTGGAAGAACAGCCAGTGATCTTAACCACTGAGAAATCCCAAAGATTTCTTTTTAATAGTGTTTGTGTAAGGATATATGCCCATAAGTACAGGTATCTGCTGAGTCCAGAGGTGTCAGCTCCTCTGGAACTGGAATGGCAGACCACCTAGTACAAGTGCTGGGAATAGCAAGAGTGGACACACAACTAACCATTAAGCCATCTTCCCTATTCTTGTGTTTTTACCCTTTCTACTGAGGTATAATTTACACATAACAAGTGTTAATTTTAAAATATACTCCCATGAGTTTTGACTAATGAAATTTGATAGTTTACATGTACTCCACCGCGGTCACAGACTGCAGCCTGAGTTATTTTTCATGGCAGAGCATGGCTCCCAACCTGCTCAACCCAACTGAAAGGGTTTTGTTTTAAATCCTTTCAGTGACATAAATAAGACAGAGCTTGCATGTAGCCCACACAGACAGAACTATTTCCTGTTGCCCCTTCACACGAAAAATATGGCCATTCAACACATGGATTCTGTCACCTCTCGGCTCCCTCTGACCTTTCCTGGGTGGCCCCCAGCCCCACCTGTGCACAGCAACCACTGATCTGGTTTCTGTCATGTAGTCTTTGGCCTTTCTGGGGTCTTACATAGACAAAAGCACACAGTATGCTGCCTTTTATGTCTGGCTTCCTTCACTTGCAGTGTGAGAGTCACTGTCTGGGCTTTGGCATCCATGAGTTCTCCATTCCTTTGTATGACATCTTGTTAAAGGCATGGCTCCCCTCCTGAGATGGAGGATGCCTCCTTCCGCTTTAACACATGCCCGTTCTCACTGCCCCTTGTCTTCGCAGGCATGAACAACCGGGAGGTGCTGGAGCAGGTGGAGAGAGGCTATCGGATGCCCTGCCCACAGGACTGCCCAATCTCCCTGCACGAGCTCATGATCCACTGCTGGAAAAAGGATCCGGAAGAGCGCCCCACTTTCGAGTACTTGCAGGGCTTCCTGGAGGACTACTTTACTGCCACAGAGCCCCAGTATCAGCCTGGTGAAAACCTGTGAGAGCCTGCGCTTCAGAGGCCTCGTCCAGAGGTCTCCCCACCCTCCCCATTAGCTTCCAATTCCGTAGCCAGCTGCCCCAGGGCAGCAAGAACCGTCCAGGATCAGATTGCATGTGACTCTGAAGCTGACGAACTTCCACGGCCCTCACTAATGACACTTGTCCCCAGTCCTCACCTCCTCTGTGAACCATCCGAGAGAGAAGCGTGTGATTTCTCAGACTTGGAAATGCATTGTATTGGTGTTATGTCAAAGGCCAAACCTCCGTTCAGTGTAAATAGCTGTTCCTGTGCCGACCATCCCAGGGCTTTCCTTTTTTTTAAAAAAAAAAAAAGCAAATCCTATGTGATTTTAACTCTGTCTTCACCTGATTCAACTAAAAAAAAGTATTATTTTCCAAAAGTGGCCTCTTTGTCTAAAACAATAAAATTTTTTTTCATGTTTTAACAAAAAAACGATCAGGACAGGTGTTTGTTTTTTTCCTTTTTTATACATATGATATATATGTTAACATATGTTCCTGTACATACATCATGTGGGTGCTACCATGGAGACCGTGGCCAGCACAGGCCACATAGCTACAGGACCAGAGTGAGGATTACTGCAGAAACCTGCTGTGGAAGCACTGGTGCCATCCGGAGAGCTGGTGGCCTCAGTTTTTTTAATTTCTACGAAGCATGAGTTCCCCCCTTCGTTTGGATTGCACTTTTTGGTTCCTGGTCATACCTCTAGATTGTTCATGTGACTTTTTCAGGTCCCCGAGCCAAGTTCACGAGTTTTAGTGCCAGTTTTTGCTCCAGCAAACTGTGATGTGTTCTTGAAACTTTAGGAGCCAGCACGTTTAAACAAGAAGCAGCCAGCCCGTTCTACCAGAGCTGCAAGATGGAGACCACAAAAGCTTCCTCTATAAATATGGATGCTGAAGGGTTCTCACGTGTTTTCCTTTTATTTAGTAAATCTTGTAACCACATTTAAATGGTCTAAACCCATAGCATTGTAGCCATGGCAACCTAACTAAACTTTCTCATGCAACTAAAAATTATGGGGAAGGCAAGGGTGGGGGGGTTGTACATGTCCCATTGTAAAATAAGTGTTTTACTGTCCTGTACTGCGAGTGAGTGATTCTCCGAGTCAGGAGGACTCCAGGAAATAACTATGCACTACTTTACATTTCATGGGGGTGCACAAAAAAAAGTATTACGTTTTTGGTTGCTGTTTGTACCAACCTTGAATTACGTATGTTTAACAACAAATCAATTCCTATTTCTATTGAGTTTTTTAATACTGACTAGCAATTCTGAAGTCTTAATTCCTTTTTTTTGTTAATGGTTTATTTGTGAGTTTACATTTTTAAATTGTTTAACTTTCCTAATTTAGTAATTAAAAAGAGAGCATTTTACATTTGAAAAAAAATTTTTTGTTTATTTGTGTACACCACAGAAGGTTCCCCAGGCATTTTGTGACATACCTGGCCCACACCAGATGGTGAGGAAGCACCTGGCAAATCGGGCCACTGTATGTGATTTCCAAATGACAGAGACATTTCAGAACATCTGGAGACCCCTCCCCACCAAAGGCAAAGCCATTATCTGGCTAACTCAGAGACTGGTTAAAGCAAAACTGGGTATACTTGAGCGCCATAGTGTATCCAACACTGTCTCTCACTGGAGTTACTGTGTCTTATTTGTGCAGGAAACAGTAGTCTTTCTGGATCTCAAGCCATACACTTCCAAGTATCCCTCTGCTTCTAAGATGAAGTTGCTAAGCACGTGACCATGTAGTATGGGGGAGAGGGTGGTGGGTGGAGTGGGTAGCTAACCAGGCCTGGATCTACCATGGTTCCCTGTAGAACTCTGAACCTCGCCTGCAGGCCAGTGTGTCTGGAGAGGTACAGACAAGATGCTGTCCCAGCATCTGGCAGCCCTGAAGACTCCAAGGCCACCCATGTCATACAGAGCCACATAAGGAGGAAAAGCTTTTTATTGTTGCTGAAATAATATTACCTTTAGAAAAGATTGTAGCATTTTGGGGAGGAAGATGAAACTTTTTTTAAAAATCAAAACTGTTACTATTTTGGATATGAATACCATTGATTCAACGACATTAGGTAAAGTTTTTATCACATAGGACTAGTCATTAGCAGGTTCTAGATTTTTTTTTTAAAATAATTTTATTTTCAATCCTCACTTCAAATTAGATAATTTGCAGATATTCCCTGGAGGATTTTTGTTTTGACTCATTGAAAAAAAAACTGAAAAAGAAACTTGTTTTAAGAAGAAAGTCTTTGAGGGAAAAAAATTCACTTTTAATTTCATATAGCTTTTAAATTTTTATCAAGTGAGTTCTCTGTGGATTCTTGTATATAAAGGAAAACTAAGGACATAAGTCAGTCTGAGGGCACACTTATGAGATCAGAGCCCTGGAGCATTATGGGATGCATAAAGAGCTACAGTCAGGAAGAAGTCAGAAGTGTCCAGGTTCTCCCAAGAGTCCAGTGTGCTTTCTAGAGAGGCTCAGTTCCCATCCGGAAGCCTCTGCTTATAAGTGATAGAAGCTGGGATCAGGAAGCTGAAGGTACTCACCAGAAGGTTCTCTTATAACAAAGGAAAAATAACGTTTACCGTGAAGCAGGTGAAAACGTTTGTTTGTTTAGGGAAGTTTTCTTTGTTGTTTTGCTTTTAAAAGTAATAACTGTTCTATGTGTATTGGCATGAGGGTGTCAGATCTCCTGGGACTGGAGTTTTAGGACCGATGTGAGCTGCCATGCTGGGAACTGAACCCGGGTCCTCTGGAAGAACAGCTAGTGTTCTTAACCACTGAGCCATCTGTTCAGCTCCTGTTCCTTTCCTTTAGTAACCCAGCATGATGACTAAGTACTTTCTCTCTATGAGAGCCACCAACTGACGCTGCCTGGTTTGCACTGGATACCATTTCAATAGACTGTTCTCTTAAAAACTCAACTATGAAGCTGACTGGAGAAGTCTGTTTTCATAGCTCAGGAGTGAACATTGATTCACTCCACTGTGATTGCACACTCAGGCTGTAACATCCAGGGACCTGATAGGACCCCATCAGATGCCAGGTGCCACGTGTCAGCAGCGACTCAGTGGACTTTCAAGGCCCCACCAGAGTGAGTGCAGGTGTTTCCAGGGGGAACGTCAAGGGTAACCATGGCCCTCAAAACCTGTCACATGACTCAAAATTTCCAGGCACCTGGGTGTGTTTACCCACTTGGAGACTGACAGGAATCCTTCTGTGGCTAACTAAATCTTGGCAGCAGAGGATTCTCTAGTATCACCAGAGCTATGAAATCTTTATCTACGATTTCTCATGGGGCTGTAACAGCGCCTGCCATATTAATTGGAATGGTTCTTTCATGGAAAGGTAAGATTCTCAGCAGTATACCCAGGAAAAAAGCACCATAGCTTTGCTGCAGAAAAGATGATACGTCTATTGTTGGCCGTGTTGCAGAACAAGAAAGCACGCAGGGTGGGCGTTACCTAACGGTGTATTTGAGTAAAATGGTGTTTGGTCAATTTGTTCTGAAAGATATTTTAATAGATTCAGGTGACTTCTGTTGGCTTTCTTGCCACTGTGTGTTATGCTGTGACCTTTTGTTAGGCTAATGTCAGATACACACTTTCTGGAGGGTGGATGAGAGGGAGGGAAGGAAGGAGATTGGCTTTGATCCTGAAGGGGCGAAAAAGCCTGCGGCGTCGTTACCTACATTTAATTTTTTTTTAATTCTCAGGTGTAGATCTAACTCCACAGAATGTAATAAAAATGCCTTTATTATCTTTTAAATATCAAGTGAGCCTTCACAACTGGTGTTTATATCAATATTCCAAGAAGTTTTATGACAAACTCCAAACTATTCCTCGTTTTTACCCAATGTATAAAATATACAGACTCCCATGGAGAGGACATGGGGATCTCTTTACATATCTTTATTTTAAAATAAAAGCGGGAGCATATAGCTAAATGATAGACCATTTGACTTGCATGTCTGAGGCCCTGTGTTTTCATTCTCTAACAGGATTCTCTCTCTCTCCTCTCTCTTCTCTTCCCCTTCTCCCTCTCCCTCTCCCCCTCCCCCTCCCCTTCCCCCTCCCCCTCCCTCCTCCCTCCCCTCCTCCCTCCTCCCTCTCCCTCTCCCTTCCCTCCTCCCTCTCCCTCTCCCTTCCCTCCTCCCTCCTCCCTCTCCCTTCCCTCCTCCCTCTCCCTTCCCTCCTCCCTCCTCCCTCCTCCCTCTCCCTCCTCCCTCTCCCTCTCCCTCTCCCTCTCCCTCTCCCTCTCCCTCTCCCTCTCCCTCTCCCTCTCCCTCTCCCTCTCCCTCTCCCTCTCCCTCTCCCTCTCAACTCTAGACGTTGAAATATAAAGTGGTTTGTGATTTTGTAGGAACCACCGTGTAAGAATGCAGCACGTGATAAATAATGGCTCGCCCAACAGCCAGAACACAGTGTTCCTCTCTCGGGTCCTCAGAACTCATGTCATCGTGTGCTTTCAAACCACTCGTGTGTTCAGGAACACTGCTCTTCCTTCAGCGGGTTTTCTGTGGCAGGCTGGGCACACCATGAGACCAGAAACTGCCCAGTACTGTGATTCTCCTCTCCCTCACCTTGAGCAGTGATGAGCTTCTGAAGATGTGGGTCTGACGCACGAGTGGCTGGTTAGATGGATGGTGCCCACCCCCCAGCGGGGTGATGGTTTGCCTTCAGATGACAGGCTTATCCAAGAGCCTGCTGAATGTGAGGAGTTGCAGCTTGCTGCCTCAGCACTAGCCTTGCCTGCTACAATGCGCAGTCATCAGTCTTCAAGATAACTGTGAAAGCCTTCTCTCCAGCATGAACCAGGCACAGCCAGTGACCCCACTCCTTTCCCCAGGTCTCACCCCAACACCCTAGGTAGAAAGTCAGGCTTCTTGAACAGTGAAAGCTGACTGCACAGAGTAACTGCCCAGAGCAAAAGACCAAATGAGGTATAGTCCACAATGCATGCAAGGGAGGTCCCATTTGAATTGGATAATGTTATGACAACCTGATATTCCAGTTTCTAAGATAACCATCTTTGTGTTCATATAAAACTGTATCTGCAAACCCTCCAGATGTGCAGTGTCTGACCTGTGGCTAACCCTCCAGATGTGCAGTGTCCGGCCTGTGGCTAACCCTCCAGATGTGCAGTGTCCGGCCTGTGGCTTATGATAGTGCAGCTCTCGTGACTGGGGTACTTTGGCCTGTATGAAGTGGTAGCTTACTGTTGTGTGGAGATCAAACATGAGAAATATATCATTAGCCTACTCACGGGTGTTCCTGATTTCCCCACTCAACCAAGAACAGCCTCGAGGCTGAGTGGGGGGAAAGTCAAGGGCAAGCTTAACGGCAGAAAGGAAAGGATAAACCAGCTGGAGCCTCCTGGCAATAGAGATTAGATCAGCCTTCCTGGCCAGGATACTGCAAATCGG